GCGCCGCCAAAGGACCGGAGATCCCGGAAATTTCGGTGCGCGAGCTGGCGAGGCGGACGGGATCTTGTCGGGTTCCGACGAGATATGGCAGCATGGCGGCACAGATGAAGGCTTTCTTTGACTCCACCGGGGCAGCTATGGAGGGAACTGAAACTCGCCGGCAAGCCCGCCGGGTTTTTGTTAGTACCCGGTACTCAGGGAGGAGGCAGGAGACGACCCGCGTAAGGTTCTTTTCTTGAGTTCGTCTCCTTATCATTATCTTCGCAGTAATTGCATTTTGTGGGCATTTTGAATTGGGAAAAACACTATGATCGAAATGATAATTGATTTGGGCAAGGTTAAGAAACTTATGGAATATGTTTTTGTTTAATGAGTTCAAACGTGATGTACCTATAACCCGTTTATAGTAATATTACGATGCCTAAGTCAATACTTTAGTTGTCTAGTGAAAAAAGTTTCTTCTGGTTAGAAGGCCCTTAGAGCATAAAGTATAAGGCATCGCCTTCTAATAAGTTTTACATTTGTTGGGACTACAAGTACTCTGATAATTTGGAGAATGAATAAGGCTCTTTTGCTTTTATGGAGAATGAATAATTTGGGGAAGCATAAATTCATTTCTTGCATGACAACATGTTTGTTACCAAATGAAATCTACAAGAATATGGATGAATTTGCATATTTGATAATATAAGTAGGTTAAATGTTAGATTACCATTTCTATAATTCTTGATTCTTTCAGAGATCTATTGGATATTTGTACTTTTTATTATGTTAATTCCAAATAAATGTTTTGGAATTATTGTCTGGTTGAATTAAGGATTAGGGTTAAGGTCAAAGTTTGATGTCCAGTTAGATGAAGGATAAGGTTTAAGGTTTGGAAATTTGACCTTAATTCATATCTATCATTTTGCAAGGTTGGCGATCTCTTTATTTTCTCTATGTCATATAGGATTTCCTGACTATTTATGTTATTTCAATAAGCTTAGCATCGTAAGTTATGCATGTACTGGATTTTTCTTGTGAAAAATGATTCGTGTGATTATCCTGTGGCACAATGACTAGTGAAAATGTTATCTTTAATTACTTATATAAATCTTTCTTTATGCACTTCTTTGGTCTATTTCAAGGAACTATGCCTTGTAGGCTGTTTGTTAAAGTAGAAAACTAATCCTTGTGCATGGACTTGTAAGAATGATCTTCGCAGTTGGAATTGGAGACTTTTGCTGTCAAAATAACCAATCCCACTTTAGCTAAGCCCTATTTTATGTTAACAAAGTCCCATTGCCATGTTAGTTTGATCACTGGAATAACTAATGAATATTTGTTAGTAGCTAATTGATTTTTTTTTTTTGGAATAAAGATTCATATGTTTAATAATTAGTGACACTTACATATCAATAACAACACAATCAACCTCCTAACAAGAACACACATAAGACATATAGTCTAACTCGAATTCACACACTTATAAGAGGGGTAAAAATATCAATCATCCAACCAAAAGGAGCAACTTTTATGCATATGTCAGAATATTTGACATTCTAGGCTTTTACCATCCCAGAAAAAAAGATATTCCAGCCTTTCTACTGCGGTATGTAAAGTCCCAACAATTGCAATGGTATGTTTTCAAGTGCATGTCTTCTTGCGCATTGGGTGTACTCGTCATTCTTCTATTAAGGAGAACGGTGATTTGCCAATGCTATTGCGTAATTGTTGATTTGCTATTGTTATTGTGTAATTGTAGATCTCATGTCTAACATTCTAAGCCAGGAAGTGAAAGATTAAGAAGCAAAGGGGGAAAGGGGGGGAGAGATAAGAACTAACACAATGGAAAGTAAATTGAGAAATAGTTTAGCATTGGTCATCTCCTACTGGTATACATAAGTGTACTGCTTGTTTGATCCAGTATTTCCTCTCCTCATCTTTTATTTCATGGGGCACAAGAACAAAGATATCTACTATTAAACAAGTATTCTGCTGTTTCCTTTGTTCTTTTGGATGTAGGTGGACAGCAATCACACAATTGGCACACCATGGGATGCTCTTTGTTCCTGTAGGGTACACCTTTGGAGCTAGCATGTTCAAAATGGATTCCGTCCGAGGGGGCTCCCCCTACGGTGCTGGAGTATATGCTGGTGATGGCACAAGGCAGCCGACTGAAACAGAGTTGGCACTAGCTGAACACCAGGGAAAGTACATGGCTGCAATAGTCAAGCGGCTGGCGCAGGCTTAAATCACATTGTTCATTACTTTCGTCTGCAAATCAATCTAAATGCGTTAGTTTTGTGATTCTCAAGCGGTATAAGATTATTTGCTTTACTAGGTGATGATTCCTCTTGGCATTTCACCGATTGGACTGAAACCTGAAGAGTACATCGATGTATTGGTTCTGGTTCTTGTCTTAGTTCTTTGACTCTATTGTGCTTGAGAAAATTGTAAATGGTTCCAAATTTTTCGGTCGGTAATT